ACCTTTTAAAATGGAATAACTTGTTTATAACTGGGTCAAGCAATCTAAATTTTTTTGGAATCTAAGAGAGACTAGTTTACTAGACAATAACTAACAAATTGTTTCAAAAATTGCAGTTGAATGACGTGGTGAAAAAATTAAAAAATGCTGTTTTCTCACCTTTTTTTATGTAACAAAAAATATGTATCTTGTAGATCTCGGTAACTTATAGTATAGTCAAATTACAGCCACTGAAAGATGTAAAAATGACCTGTTTTTGATTAAAATCTGTGAATTTCGATGAAATTTTCAGCACGCATATAACTTATCGAGGTCTACAAAATGCATTTTTATATTTTTGTTATAGGCTCGGATAAAAATGTTGAAAAAGCATCCTTTTGATTCTTTTATTATGCTAACAAATTGCAATTTTTGAAAACAATTATTTAGCCATTTTCTAGTAAACTAATCCTTCTAATATTATAAAAAAATTTATATCCTTGGCCTAATTATAAAAAAGTTATTCTGTTTTAAAAGATGTACGAATTAATTCTTTATCGGTCTCTATGGCGCCTTTATACATAGAAACATTAGACGGATAATCGCATTATATTGACGCATGCGCACGACGGATGAGCCCATATTGACAAGATTCAATGCTGCAGTAAAAAGTTCTAGAACCAGTTATTGTGTGCCTATGATCTACAAAAATCAGTTATTGTGCCTCAGTAAGAGTGCTTCCTGAATACTATGCTTCAATTACTGTATTGTCTCCCTGAATACTGTGCCTCAATTACTGTGCTCCCACCCTGAATACCGAGCCTCAATAACTACACAATAAAAATTTAATACTTAATATACTTTCATAAATTTTATATTCATATTTACATTTCTCCTTTTTAAAAATATGACAGAGATGATGAATTGAGGTTATGTAGGCCTATCCCGTGGTAAGCACTATAGTAACTAACGTATCGAGTGGAAAATAGGTTCAGTTACTATGCATAGTAAACAAGCTACTGAAATTAAAACTAAAAACAAAAATTCAAATAAATAAACACTTATTCGTTTTTCCGTAATCTTAATACGTTTTACCAATGCAATCAACATTGTGATATCTTAGAACCATTTATTTTAATTAATATTGATCTTTATTTGTTCACAGTATTTTCTTAAGCTTTTTCATAAGCTTTGCAGAAAATTTCGCGAAATAAATATCAAAAATTTGTAATAATTTTTGTTGTATTTTAAGAGCTTCTGTCTTTCACGTGTTTAATTTTAACAAATAAGTAATTAATTGAATTTAACCAGTTAGCTTTGTTTGACGAGTATACTTGTCATGGAGAAGTGGCAGTATTTTGTGTTATGACAAGTATACACGTCGTGCGTAAAAAGTAGCAAAATTGGTTATTTAAATTGTAATTTTAGTGAAAACAAGAACATATCTTCAAATTTGAAAATGTTTAGAATATTTTGAGGCCAGGCCAGAATAGAACAAACAAATAAAAAATATGAATAACTATATGAATAATTCACGATAGTGGTGTTCAACATGCAAAGTGCCATTATGTATTATTGCTTTGCTGAACACCACTCTAATCAGCAATTTGAATTTTTAACTTTTACAAGTATTTCATTTTTCTGTGTTTTTCGTTTATTACGTATGTAGTATATGTTAATGCTAAGTGAATAAGTAAATATTAGTAATAAAACTGTTAATTTTTTTAAATAAAACTGTTTTCTTGATCCAATATTTACGCGCTCTGAAAAGAAGATGTCACAGCTAACTGGTTAAATAAAAAAATTTGATACGTCTTATACGATAAATATAAAGTTAATTATGCTTGAAAAAGAAACAACGGGCATAGTAATTGGCTAGCCCGCCGAACTGGCTCCATTACTCTAGGTATTGAAACCGGTGCTGGTCCTACTTTATCGACTGCTGGACATTAGATAGCAGGCGATGTGACGCGATAGTTTAAACTACCGCACGTATATGTATATATGATTAGTAACGTATGGATAGGTGTCATTCAATGTGTTAGTGATGTCTGTACACGCTGATTCCAATGTATAGCATTAAACGTTTTTTGGGAATATCTTTAAAACTACTAAATGCTCGAAGTTACTTTATATTTGGGATCCTCTCCCTTCTCCTATACACCCTCCGAGTACCATCTTGATCGGCTGCAGTTAAATCTCGAAAGTACAGCCTAAAATTTGTCTAAAGTCTTCACTGGTTTGTATTTCATCTACTCTTTTTTGCCATAAATGCATAAAATCTCCAGTTTACTTATAAACTAAACTTGTGCGGTGGTACCATGAAAAGGTAAAAGTTGTTCAAAATGTTCAGTTTTACAACATACTTAAGCTTTATAAAAATCGACGAGCTGTGACCTTTTATGCATAATTCAGTGAAAGTCCTTCAGTAAATAATTTATGAAGCCTTCTACCTTGACTTTATTCATTTCTCATGCATATCGCGAACGTTATGAAATTCTTTTATGAAACGTACCTTCAAGATTCCCATGATGTTTGCAATTTCTTCGGTGGTTAGATCGTCCGCTTTGAACAACATTCTGATGTCAGTTTCAATATTTGAGGCCAAATTCTTTATTATATCTTGTTCGCTATGACTTTGGAGCTTCATGAACTTTTTATATGCGCTGGGTTTGGCTTTCTTCATAGAATATATTCTTATAACATCCATACATTGATAAGTATCGGGTATGTAGCAGAGCTCGGCGATCGAATCCTGCAACATCGACGAAGTGAGAATAATTAAGTGACTTCTGAATACAGTAGAATCTCGATTATCCGAGCTAAGCAGAGTGACGTAAATGTTCGGATAATAGAACAGTTACTTAGATAAAGTGCCAGATATCAACTTTATTGATTTGTACAATAAATAGTTTTGTGTATGATTCGACTTTGATTGAGCCGATTACAGGTGAAAAGTATTTAAATGACAGATGATTCTGATATTGGAGAATCGGATAATCGAGGTTCCAAAGTAAAATTACATTATAGAATCATGGCATGCATATTATGTAAATTTCTATTATATTTTATATATACATATATTTATATTATTTGTATTATTATTTATATTTATATTATATTAAATACCTATTATATTCTATTTCTAGAGAAAGTATACAGGGTGTCCTAAAGGTTATTCAAAATTGGCAAATAAGGGGTTCCTGAAGTCATTTAAAATAACTTTTTCCTCAGCGAAAATGCAATCCGCGGCTATATACTATTCAATTTGTCTAATTGTAAGATGAGGTTACGTATTCATTTTTCAATGATTTAACCTATATAAAAAAATGGATAATAGTTGTTTAAAAGAAACTAATGTCTGACCAAAAATTGTCCAATCGTAGACGGAATTTTCATTCGGTGTTTTACTTTGTGGATTTTATACATAGACGGATTTTATGCTTTTTTGTTAAAAATGAATGGATCAATTGCAAAATAGAAAAAAAACATTTAAAAAATTTCGAAACGTCGTTGCATTATTCTTAGTTCATTGAAGTTATTAGGGAAAGTAATGGAAATTTTACGTTACTCTTCCACCATGCAATTAATGGATGCAATTCTTATTTTGCATAAAAATCTGGAGTCTACTAATTACAATTAGCTCAAAGATACCGGGAAAGTAGAACAAATTACCAATTTCATACCCATTCTCATACCGATCTCATTTCGGAGTAAGAACTTTTAATCAATTTTTTCCATCGGGCTTATTTGTTACATCTACTACATTCATTATTGTTAACGATGGAAACAGGTATTTTAGTTTACTTTTATTGTGTCGATTATTTATCATTGAATAATAGATTACTATTATATTATTATTATTATTATATTATTATACATTTATTTATATATTATATAATTAATATTATATTACTACTATTATATTATTACTATTATATTTAATTAGTATTATTATTATTATTCCAATCTATTGATAAATAGGTCACTTGAAATTGAAAGTGCCAGAATTTGAGTTCTTTAATATAATAGTCACCTTTCCATAACATCGAGTAGCAATGAAATGGCATTCCGGTCCATGGTCTATGCAGGTGGCACAAAGAGGCCATGAGCATCTCGCGCAAGGTACAGCAGTTTCTTCCTTCAGCGCCAAGTTGCACCCCAGACATATGGGAACGGGAGTCCAACCGGAGCCAGAGAACAATGGTGGCTCTCTGATAATGGTTTCTCCAACAGCGAGGTCCCTTGTGGCGATATAGTGACGGCCCACGACCTCGTCCTCTACTACCTTTGAAATCAAATTTTCTGATCGATTACCAAGCATCGACAACACTTTCGATTTATGGGGGCAGAACGACTTGACGCGTCGAAAATCTTATCGATACGTTGGAGGACAATAAAACAATGACTACATATTTCATTTGATCATAAGTTTTTGTGGTTTATTTCACTGTATTTTTAAGTAAAAAGAAAATCAATAGTAGAAAATGTAAAGAAAATTAAAGAGCTCTCATTGTATTTTCCGACAGCATTCTTGTACATGAATTTTTGTTGCAGTGCTTGTCGGTGTGGACGATTCAGGCCAAACCGAACTAGCTGTAATAAAAAAAGGAACAAGATTTTGAAAATGCATAAAATTATTTAGGGATTGACGATTACAAGGTTTCAATTTTTTTGAAAATTATAAGAACGACAACTATTTGTTGCTGAATTATCGAATTTTTATCAAAAACTTTCGACGATTTTTATTTCTACTTTTCGAAATTGTTAACAATTGAAACAAATGAGTTCGTCGATCTTTAATAAATGTTATACTAAAGATACATACCAAGTGACAGAGTACGATACGTTATTTTTCATATGTATTTTTTACTTACCATTAGACAACCATTCCTGCTTCGTGCATATGATCATTTGCTTTAATTTAAGGCAGTTTTACACTTTATAATACTGCTTGTAAAGAGCGGCACAAGTCCAATTATTTTGTATCCATCGCTCGCACTCATAGTTGGTAACGAAAGTATTCCACTAGTATAACTTTGACTTCTACGTCATGTATTTAAAATAAATATACAATGAAGGGAAAAGATCCTTTACGGTATATTACAGTAGAGCTTACAAATAACAAAATACGAAAAACTTTCGACTTAGTATAAAACGTTGCCTACATAATTTAAACAAAATATAAAAAAAAAACATAGAATTTTCACGGCGCACAAGTATTTGAATGCCCTATAAAATTAAGTTGAAAAGTTACAAAAATAATTTTTCTAAAATTCTTGTTACGAATTTTATACCTCAATTATTTAACGATACGTTTCCAAGAAGTTTGACATTTCAAAAATTATTACTTATTTACAATCGATGTCGTTACATATCTCTTTTTTTTCACGATTTTATGATTTGTTTATAATATGTATGTTTTGTCGTTACTACTTGTACGATCGAATTCACATTCTGGGGATGAGCAGACACGTGTAAGTATGATTTGTTATCTTAATTCGTTAATACATCCGAAGAAATTTGTAAAATTGGAGCAGCAGATACGATGTTACAGTCTGTGACCAAAAAATAGCACACGTTAAAATTAACCCTCGGACGACAGACCATTTTCACAACTGTACTATCAACGATGTTTATAACAATTCTGAGAGCTCCGTTCAGCAACTTTTCACAACATATTTTCGAAAATATTTCTTACAGATTTATTGACCTTCCTGTTGTTCATAATGCAACAGCAATTTATTTAATTTAATTGTCGAAGATTGAGCTAGCCACCATTATGCGAGGGTTAATGTAAATTTTATTTATTTAAGATTACAACCATGGTTCTCTTTCTAGGCAAACTTGCAAAATACCGTTATAAACATACATAAATAAAATAAAAATTGAATTTCGTCGGTCTAAACAATTTTATTTGAAAAAAAAAGAAAATCTTTGTGGACATATAGTTCGACAAAATAATTGCACGTTTAACTAAAAATTATGTATGACAATAAATCGGCGAATGTTATGTGAAGGGATCAATGACCGGAGCAAGCTGATCATATGGTCGAAGCAGGTCATCTTCGAAAAACCTGAAACGTAAACACACCGAATAGGAGCAATGAACTGGGAAGGCCAAAGCCTTCCGAATTGTTGTCAAAACGGAAGGTGCGTATAAAAATGACGAACGTTGAACTGCGACAAAGAGTTTTTAACGTCTTTTACGAAATAGCGATACGATGCAACGATAAAGCGATACACCAATAGAGCGATATACCACCCATAAAAACGATCTAGCGATTTGTGCGACCATAAAGTGTTTGCAATTCTTATCCATTTTCAGTAATACATTTTTATTGAAATATTACCAGTTGTGCATCACGCTCCCGCACCCCACTCCTACAGATATTTAATGCTTAACACTCGAACTGCGAGGCCCGGATCCATTTGGACTCGGAGTAAATATTGTTATTTGACAAGTTTATATTGTTTACAAGTTTATATTTATAAAGTTTTATTTAATAGTTTCTGGAAATTGATTGACATTTTCACGTAGTTTATTACGATTCATAGGTACAGTAACGTTTCTGGAAGAGGTGCCTTGAAAAACATGATGACAGAAATTCGTGAATAATATTATAAATAATCCTATAAAATGATAGTTATATTTTTGTCAATCATCTACGTCAGCAAATAAATAGTGTGCACTCGATCGTAATGAAACTATTTCATTGTCTCAATGATAATCACTTCTACTTTTTAAAGAAATACTCTACAATTAAAAATCTACTTCGAAAATATAGTACCGAAATTTCGAATATATAATACCGAAATTCCTAAAATACGTCAACAATATTTATTCAAAGATAGCACGTTTGAAATTATTCTTCTATGATGTTTTCAGTTATTTACCCAGAAAATAAACGTCTTACGTTAACGATACTATTATCGGTCACTTATAAACAAAATGAATTTACATTGTCGGTAAAGGTAGGTACATGGTACATTGAAAAGTTAAAGGATAAAAAAGTCTTATTTGCAATACAATTTACTTGGAATACCATTATTCTAAATACTGTTTTGTGAAACATTACCACTTGATGAAATATTATTGTGTTTATATTTTAATGAAATATTTAATTCGGAATAATATTTCCATCTGCTACCATTAAGATAGATATTTGCAATGCTATTTCCATGCGTGACTACTATTTTAAAAGAAAGTTTATTTTCCAAATTCTGTATCACATGAGAAGACAAAAATATTTATAGCGTATTTATTATTTAAAAAATCTATTTTCCCCAACCCTGTACTGTTGCATGATTCACAAAATTTAATTTTACATGTTTAAAGCGAAGTACGTTATACAAAATGAAAATACTATACGTCAGAAAAACTATTTTGGATTTCGAGTTAAAATGGATCTGACTAGAAACGGTTAATATCTTCTAGCTTCTACTTTACATTTAATAACAGCATAACATCATTCTGTTTGGCAAAGATTTTGAGAGTTTTATAATAATTCTTCGTTCTAATTGCTCTCCCAGTTATTTTGAATACATCATTTGAATTTGGCAATGTTTTCGAATTGGCTATTTCCATGTACAGCTCGGGCAAGATTTGTCCGAAAATTTTTTTAAATGACATTGAGGTCGGGTGATCATGCTGACCAATCCAAAACGCAAATTTTTGTTCATTATTGTCTAAGTAAAAAATATATTTATTCCTTCATCATTTCCAAAACATTTTGCTATTTATTTGTTTAATAAACCATCTGGTTTAAAGCATCAATACATAAATAAATAAATAAATACATTTTTCTATTCATTTTTTAAATGTAAACGAGAAATCACAAAATATTAAGCATTAAATATCATTAGTTGATTGATTGCTGTATAGAATTTTTAATTAAATGTGCTATCGTTTTGTCGTATTTACATAAAAATTCTACTTTTTTCAAATAAATTTGTTTAGCGAAGTTCAATCCTGTTCCGTTTGTGTATATTTATAGTGATATTTTACAAGTTCGTATAAAAACAAATCCTTGCTTGTAATGTTAAATGAGTAGAAATCACGTTAATTTTTAGGTGTGCTATTTTTCTTGTCGCGAATTG